ACTTGGACAGTTGAGAAGTTGAGCTTTGATTGACGAAATTCAGTTCCACACTGCGCGCTCAAACCCTGACCCTACAAATCTGCAAATCGAAGCAAAACAGACAAAACAGACAAACAAGCACAAGACATAAGAAGAAGACTAAGAAATCAACCAGACGGTAGCACGCGTTGACGCATTGTCAAAGAACTGCTTTGGCAAGCTCAAGTCTATACAACTGTCGTTCAAACACTCACCAAGAAAACTGTACAGTGAGTACATAACTACTATGGGTGGCTCTGAGGTGAACAAAGTCCGAATTGGCTCAGTCCTGTCCACCCTTTCCATCCAGGCGGTTTCCAGTGCTTTCCAGTGGACTGTTGACATATCTTATACAATATCCAATCCAAATCTTGAACGGTCATTTCAGGCTAAACCAAAGAGCTAGCAGCAACTAATGTGCCATACTCATACTCTGTCGGCACGGAAAATTGAGCCCGGAACCAAAACCAAATCTATCGCAAGACTCTATGATTTCTACAGTTGAATTTGCATGAACAATGCTGGGCACTACTACTCTCTACAGCTGGACATCTCGAGCACTACCTCTCAATCGTTGGGTGGACATTGGCCATGGCAGCGCCCCAATCTCATGGCCAGGCACCCGCGATCAATTCATGCCATACATGTGCCCCAGCAGCATTCATATCTTCAATCACTTCAACATATGCTTGGCCAGCGCAAACACATCCTTCAAACTTTTCGCTTTCTTGCGGTCCTGGCTAGGACACAAGAAGCTCACAAACCAACTTACTAACTGGACCTTGGTTATATATATATAGAATTTATAATTAATTACTATTATATTATAAGTTATAAGTGATACTTTCCGCATTCCACGGCGACAAATACCAATGCGAACCATACACAAGGAAAAAGAGCTTCCGTATCGGCCCGCTCTAGCTAGTCCACTAGTCCACCTTAGTCCACCTTCTAAACCGTGTTCTAAGTTCTATCATTTACGCAATGTCATGTATGTACTGCTGTCTCCTTGTTGTTGTCCTTGCGCTGAACGGAACCTTGCTTCTCTGCGTTCAACACGGCTGCTTGGAAACCAAAGGAGCAGGAACCATCATCTTCGCAAGTCATGGCTCCAGAATCACCTTGACCTTGTTTCTTCGCTTGTTCCAGAGCCTGTTGCATGAGTTTGGCGCGATTCTGCTTGGACCTTTCTTCATCTCCTGGCAACCGGGTAAGAGGCAAACGTGTTGGCCTCGCAATGGAATTCTTTGCCTGCTCGATCAATTTGTCGCACTCCTCCTTTCGCAATCAAATCTGACAAGACAGTAATTTGCTCCGCCTGGCTGTTTGGAATCTCCATGCCAAGCGCTTCAAAAATGAACTTTGTTTGCTTTGATGCGTTGGCGTGGGACTCCTCTTTCTCAGGCTCAAGCTTTTTTTTCTTTGCTGCTTTAGCCTTTGCCTTGACACTATCGCTGATGGATGATCGGATTTGTTTCTCCAATGCTTTCCGTCTATCAATCACATCCTGGCTCAATTTGTCTTCCAAGTCACTGACAGGTCTCAAGCATTGGATTTGCAGATCGGCAAAGAAATGTGGTATCCCTTCACTCTTGATTTTCTCGATCATGCGATCATGTCCATCACCACCATCACCAAGGTAGTCCACTGAAATGTCCAAGTCATTGTCACCCGAACGATACAGGACCACCTTCTCCAATTTGATGCAAGTCTCGAAGAAAGCTTGATCGGCTTTGGATACACTGCGGGCAGACCACCCAGGAATGCAAAGATCACTGGCCAATACATCGCGGACTGGTTCCATGTGGAAGTCAACCTAATTAGGCATGAAGTGAAAATGTAAAGGTGTAACGACAACTAACATTCAGCTGAGAGTTCAGAGAGAGTGAGAGAGAGAGAGAGAGAGACAGAACACAATTAATTGCAATGTTTGATATGCCATCCTCTCCCCCATTGATTGCTCCGCTAGGAAACTCAAATGGGAGTTTGTGAACTGGTGAACCAAACAGTTTGTTGGTGAACAGCCAAGAAACTCCGAACAGCTTCACACACCAGATCGAACCTTTTGATGTTGTTGGCTGCACTCGGTTGATGAGCGGGAGAAGAAAACCCTCGGGAATAGGCAGGGAAACTTGCAGGCCGTCCTGCTTGCTTTTGCTGCTATTCAAGGCCTTCAAATTCACACAAACTGCACTTTCGTGCCCAGCAAGTGCTTGGTAAATATCCATCATTACCCCATTCAACTGGCCCTCCAGCATCCTGAAGAATGCAGAGCTGACACTCTTGAGCTTGAGGATCTTGAACTCATCGGTTTTCCCAACTGCTTCCTTGAACTGCGAGCTCACAAAGCTGTTGAACTGCACAATGGGAACGAAGGTGGAATCTGGACTGTCAACATTGCCACTGCCACCTTCCTGACTGCCATTGGGCTTCGCAGCAGCGGGATCAGTTTGCTCGCTCGAGTTGCCTTGACCGCCTGTGGGGGAGTGCAAAACTCATGTCCGCAATTGGTTGATCTTTTAAACCAATTTGGCCAAACCTATGAATTAATGTTGTTGCTATTGTTGTGATTCTACACAAGACTAGTCGATAGTGTCAGCTGGCACGTGATACACCGTTTTGGAATTGTATAAATGAAATTGGTTATGACATGAAGGGAAAAGTACTTCCTGCCTGAGCTCTGAGTTGGCACTGCTTCAGGCCCATTTCCCGCAACACCATCACGTCTTCTGTTGCGCAAGGCAGCAAGAAGGTCACTTCGGACACAGACGGAGCTAGACTGCCCATTTGTTTGACCATCCTGGTTCAATTGCAAGCGAAGATCCACTTGTCGCACTAATGCCTCCACAGACAACTCACTTTTCTTGAGAATCTCTGCCCACTTGATACCCCAATCCTTCACGGACAGGATGTTGTCATATGTGGCAAGCTTCTCCAAGTGTGCCTCTACCTTCACCACTTGCGCAGCCAAGTCTGAGAGGAATTTTCTCCTATCATCTGTTGCATCTGTGAGAACAAGCTCAGCATCACAAGCGCACACAGACATGATTTGCACCAGGTATTGGAATCGTAGTTGTAGAAATTTTGCCAAGATCTCGCTCGTGCCAAAGACCTGATTTCACAATGCCAATATTCATTCTTCATGGACGCTGCACTCAGTACTCAGTACTATGACCCTGGACTACACCATGTTGTCCAGCTTAGGTAGGTATCCCCTTTTGCCATCAACCAACTTGCGACTGACTGATTAGATTTGTTTTAAACATGCAATAACATGCAACCCCGAGCTTTGCCTCCTCTGTCTGCTCAACAAACGCTTTTGAGGATGCAAACAGCTCGGCCACATCGACAGCCAAGGACACCCACTTAAATGGCAAGCGCACTTCGAGGACAGTTTGGACCTTGCACACCATATCCACCATCTCCATCCGCTTACAGTTGCTCGTCATGAACCTTAGCCCGGACGTCTCTCTGAAATCCAAGCAACTGCTGACAGCTCAGACACCTACACTCAAACACTCAGAGTTTGTGTGTTCCTGCCAAAACTTGTTGCTCGTGAAATTGCACTTCACCAGCACCATCCCATACACACTCACCCACCTACCACACCAATCAACTTCCGCATCTCAACATCGAAAAAGGATTTGGCTGCTTCCCGACATGACAGGACTTGACTATATACATCTTCTTAAAGTTCAAGCAATCAAGGAATACATAATACAAGTTTGACTTATATATATATATATATACACAGTAATTGAAGTGGCAGTGGCAAGTATACAAGTACTTTTGAAACCCACGGGGAGCTGTTGTGTGTCGTGTGTCTTGATTGCACACCGGGGGGCAAAGTCAAGCATTCCTTCACCACATCGTGCATAATCAAGGGAAGCTTCATGTGGGATTGAATAAACTGCTTTAGAGGCAAGGCCACGTCATGGTACTCGGTAGTCATGGTTGTGGCTACCCTGCGCAAAGCTGCTGTCTCGTCATCACCAAAGACCATCTGTGTAACACGAGGTGCGACGAAAGACTCACACAACTTCTTGGCCAATGCCAAAGCAGAAAGTCCTTGAGCTGAACTGCTTGGGGAAGTATGATCAACTGGCGCTCGAATGAAATCCATTGCAGCAATGAAGGTCGATTGTATTTCTGCCCGTGCAGCTGTGTAGACCCTCAAGTCTTTCCCATTGAGGCAGACTCGGCCTTCGAACATGAATTGCAGGAATAGTCCAACCTAAACTGAGAGGAGCTGAATGCATACTGCTGAGTTATTCACAGTCTACTTATACAGTTATACATGTTTGCTGAGAACGTGACAGTGTCACACTCCCGGGTCAATCAGTCAATCAGTAAACCAGTCAACTGCCAGTCAACCAACAATTCCAAATCCAAACTGCGATTTGGCCAAGTGACGCAGAAGCTGAAGGTGTTCTCCAAGCTCTCTGCTGGAACTTGATCACCATACGCATCCTACGCCATTAGTCAGTGTCCACTACACTATTTCACCAAAAGTCTTTACTATGACACTGCCATGATGACTGATGACTATATCTACTCATGTGCAAGTAGAAAGCCGGAACTGAAAAGAAGTGGTCTTGACCTACGCGTCCGCTACACATTTTGACGATTCCATAACTTGCCTTGACGACAAGCTGAGCATAGTTCATGGCTTGCATAAAGTCATCCAAAGCTGTCACTGGCCGCGATCCAGGGTCATCAACGGGGTCAGAACAACTCAGCGGAGACACTTGTACGCGGTATTTCGACTTCTCTGCTTCAGAGTAAGCGGCGAATGCAAGCTTCTTGTCGCCCTTGGTGAGTTTTATCTCTGACAGGCCAGTAGCTGAACTCAATCTTGACCTCTTGCCTGCAAGACAAATAATCACACACAATGAGAACTGGTTCAAACAGAAATCAGCGCACATGATGTAAGAATAACTATCAATCCAGAATCGGACGGATCAGCGCGTGTCTCCAAACACTCAGACAACCACATCCCGACTGCCTTGCTGTCCTGCGGCACCTTCATCATCCAGCATTGATTCATCCACCTGATCATGCTCGGTCTTTGCCTTCTTGGTCTTCATTTCATCATTGTCACCGCAATCATACCCTTTGCCAAGAATGCCCGGGTCAATGCCCAATTTCCGAAGTTCCTCCTCAATCTTGGGTGGAATCGCCCTCTTTTTCAAAGAAGTTGAAGAGGAAGCAAAGGGAGCAGCCTGAACACCCTGACCACCATTCTCTCCCTCATGACCACTTCCCTTGCCAGCATCCCTTGTCGGGGCAACAGTCAGCTTCTTCACAACTGCGCTGTCACTCATAGGGAGGTTTAGCAAGTTCATTTTGCTGGCATCATGTTCAGCACTCTTGAAATTCCATCCTGGAAGCCGTTCTCCAGAGGAATTGTTTGTGGCTTTAGGAACCTCGCAAGAAGCGAGGAGGTGGCAACGTGTATCACAAATGATGACATAGTTCTGACATATCACACACCTACTACACAACCGCAAATCATTAAACATATGCCACACATTTCTGACATCTGTTTTGTTTTACACGCACTTGAATATTGTGGCTGTTGCCATTATCCGTTGTCAGTTTAAGTGCTTGCTTGCTGGTTTGCTCTGCCATATAAGTTAGATACCCAACACTTAACACACGAAAGAAAACAATTAGCACGGCACCTAAGCTTAAGCGTCAAATCTCTTGGTCCAATGCTAAGGCAGACACGCAATGACGCAAGGCGTGTTTGAGGAAGATTCCAATAATGGGACCCTCGTAGAATTTGGAAAGGTTGCCTACAAGCAGCAGCGCAAGGGAATGCATCGCGTTGATCACAGCCAAGGGTTCCATGGTTGTTTCATTCGAGATGTAGTCCACATGCTTGTTCCAGAAGGACTTGCACTCCAACCAGATCTGGTAGCGGTTCTGCAACATGTGCGCCAGGGACAAAGCCTTGCGGTATGGGTCCCAGTCTCTGAAGAAAAGACCTTGCAGCAGGCAAAGTGTGAGCACACAGCGCTGCTTGAAAAAGAAGTTGTCTCTAGGCAGACTCCGTGACTAAAAATTAGAAGAGGTAGTTCGAGCAGTGGCCCGCCACAAACACAAACACATTCCACAGTACCGAAGCCAAACAATCAGTTAACGCTTGAAAAGCTTGAAGCTTGGCTCTACCTGACTCTACCTGGGGTACGTATGTTGGACATGCATATGCATGTATACCAAAAGCATCCAGGCTGCTTTGTTCCACCACAAAATCGCGATATGTCTGCCTGTACTTGGGGTTGGAGGAGTGCATCCCAGTCTTGGACACATGTCTTTCCCACTCGGACTCACAATTCAAGGCGTCCTCCAAATACTCTTGAAAGTTCTGGCCAGAGCCTTGATGGAAGCTGTTGTGAGTGACTATAAATCGCTGCCAGACTTTTGATGGTATCCGCCAATGCGCGAATTTCACATGGACAAGGCCCCTCTTCAGCACTAGCGCCACATTCTCGTGAGAAGCAAACTCTTGGGCTGCACGATACACAGCTTCTGCTCTGTGATTCCACGTTCCAGCCTGGCAAGGCCAGGATGGCTCTGGCCCCTTGAATTTGAATATTGGCTCGCCTGAACGCACAGGTTAGATTGGCAGTGGCCAAAAAGGTGTTCATGTTCATGTCCATTTCAATCATACTTACCCCAGGTAAAGGCAGGGTAGTAGTGAGGGAAACAATCAAGGAAGCAGGCTCAATTTTTAAAATATGTAACTGCTGTCACTGCTGTCATTGAGCGACAAGATTATCTACAACAAATGTGTCACCCAGCGGCCTGCTGCGACCTGACTGATTGATTCCTTGACAATCCTGTCACGGTATGCCAGCACTGTAGCCTCTTGCAATTCGCGGCTCAATGGACTTCGCTCAATGCACCGTCGTTGTTGTCCGTCAGGAGCTTCGAAAAACCATGGGACATTGCGCGTCCCATCTCCATAGAAGAGAAGAACTCTATCCAACAATGCTGCGCCTGTGGGAGGACTTGCACTACCCCACAAGTCCTCAATGGTCAAGTCAGGTGCATAAATGTCGATGCCCTTCTGCATTACATCACCAGGCTCAACTCCTGCAAGCAAGCCTGCACTCTTCTTGTCAGAAGGATTCAATGCCATACCCTCTCGCACAAATGAAGACGAAGAAGCCACACTACCCGTGCAGTCAAACAAAGGAAACCAAGCGGCCAAGCGACAATCACAGATTCAAGCAGATGTAACCAAAATGGCTGCAAAAAAAGCAAGAATGCTGAGGTCTACTTGCAACAACTGAAGGCAAGCGGGAGTGCAACTGACAGGGCAAAACAAATTCAAAATGATATCTTCAAAACTGTCGTATTAACTGCTACTGAAATTGAACCAAAAACGTGAAAAGTTCTGGGTCCAACACTCGATGCATTTGCTGTGTATTCCGCTTCGACCTCAATCAACTGCAAACAGTAACCATGCAAGAGTTGTCACAGCATCCCAGTTCTAACTTGTGTATGTAGGGTCACCGTGGTCACCAATCTAACTGCTTAAGCCTAGGTTTTGGTGAGTTGGGTCATGGATCCAGGGGTTTGGGCTTGGATTTGGTGAGTAGGGTCACCAATCTAGGCGCTTAAGCCTGGGTATTGGTGAGTTGGGTCATGGATCCAGGGGTTTGGGCCTGGGTTTGGTGAGTAGGGTCACCAATCTAAGTGCTTAAGCCTAGGTTTTGGTGAGCTGGGTCATGGATCCAGGGGTTTGGGCTGGGATTTGGTGAGTAGGGTCACCAATCTAAGTGCGTAAGCCTAAGCCTGGGTTTTGGTGAGTTGGGTCATGGATCCAGGGGTTTGGGCTGGGATTTGGTGAGTAGGGTCACCAATCTAGGCGCTTAAGCCTGGGGTTTGGTGAGCTGGGTCATGGATCCATGGGTTTGGGCTGGGATTTGGTGAGTAGGGTCACCAATCTAAGTGCTTAAGCCTGGGTATTGGTGAGTTGGGTCATGGATCCAGCGGTTTGGGCCTGGATTTGGTGAGTAGGGTCACCAATCTAGGCGCTTAAGCCTGGGGTTTGGTGAGTTGGGTCATGGATCCAGGGGTTTGGGCTTGGGTTTGGTGAGTAGGGTCACCAATCTAGGCGCTTAAGCCTTGGGTTTGGTGAGCTGGGTCATGGATCCATGGGTATGGGCTGGGATTTGGTGAGTAGGGTCACCAATCTAAGTGCTTAAGCCTGGGTATTGATGAGTTGGGTCATGGATCTAGGAGTTCAGGCGTGGATTTGGTGAGTGGGGTCATATTGTTTTTTTCATATGCATTATTTTGATGCGTTGCATTCTTTTCAAGGTCAGCAGTCGGAAGGGGAATAAGCAAAGTCAATTGCTGTTGTCATCGTTGGTGCTCAGAGGTTGGTGAGGTTTGACAAGGCATGGAAAACTTAAGAACGAAAAACAACAAACAAACTCCGCACTCATCAATGCTAATGTAAATGACCACTTTCCATGTGTTTTCTACCAACTGAATTGGCAAAAGAAACGGTCACTTCTCGCACCTAGCCTAAACTGCGGAAACATATTCTATAATACAACAATCATATCATGAACTCTTGCAGCTTGTTACTATCCATGAGTCCCATGAGATTGCCGCAGTTGAACAAAACAATGGCGGAAACCACAATACTTTTCTCAGCATTGCTTTCCATGTCCTTGAGATATCACGACAACCCTCATCGTGATACTACTGCTGATGGAATGCAAATGTGAGACTGAGACTGTGAGGGATTCAGGTAAGGAAGGCTGCACTGCACAAACCAGAAACAACGTTAGTGATTTGACATGTTTAAAGTTTGCAGCTTGCAGTGCAGCAACACTAACTAACAACACATGTACAGGAGTAAGGAGGATTCAGAAAAGACTCTCTCTGTCTCGCGCACGCAGTTGCCACTAGCTCTCCTTGATCGATGATTGTGTCCATAGATCATCCTGCAAGATTACGGAAAGCATCCTCAGAGAGACGCTGGAGGCGGCGAAACACGGGTCGATCAGGGCGACAAGCAGGCGACGCAGAAGGTGGCCCAGGCCAAACAACTTCAACCGCCATCGCATCAGCCGAAGAAGCCGGAGAAGGATCGTTTGCCTCGATTTCCATTGCATCACCATCATCAATATCATGATTTTCACCATGCTCGGAACTGAGACGAGTCTCCGTCTCCAATTGCCTGGGTTTTTTCTTCTCGGCTTGCGCTTCGTTCTCAAACGAGTGGCTCTGCTTCTTACGCTTTTTCGGTCCATCTGTGAAATGCCCATCATGACTGGGAGGAGGGGGCGGCGGCATATTCACAGTGACATGTCCAGGAGCACCACCTGCTGACGGACCATTGCCACTGCCACCATTCCCTCCTCCAGGTCCAGCACCGGTTTCATGTGTCCCATCGTGAAATGACAAGTTGTAGTGGTTATGCACCGTGAGATTGTAGTTGTAGTAGTTAGGCATAACTGGGCCACTATCAACCACCGCGATGTGCATAAGGCGAGCAACGCGATTTCCACCAGAGGCATCAAAGGACTCCATTGCAAGGCAAAGAAGCTAAAGCCCCGGACACACAGGAAACAAAACACAGTTGGAATCCAGATTGGAGAGTTACTAACTGTAGCCGCGAGCCATTTGCGCGACAAATGACAACTCTTAAGAAAAGCATCTAACTCAACAACATCGAGTCAAGCAAACATCACATGATCATCACATTGGACCTCCTGCCCTTTGGAAAGTAACAGGTCTGGAGTAGGTTTACTTTAGCGTCCAAAAGGTTTACATACTTTTGTTTAGTGGTCAGCGATCAGTCGAACGGTCAAATTTAAATATGAGCCTGAGCCTGAGCCCAGGGCCCATGGCTCATGGCAATCAATCAAAACCAACACCTTTCGTGTTCATCACGTGTTTATCTGGGGCAACCGGCAACGGGCAAAGGCTTGCTCTCCACTCTCCAAGTCACCTTCTTTGACCTGATCAACAGGCCGACACATGGAGTGAGTTGTGGCAAGTGTCGCAAGTGTGGCACAGAAGGACAGAAGAAAAATGAAGTATATAGTGAAAATGAAGAACCTGAAAAACAACCTAGGCAACTGGGCAACCTGTTATTCTTCGCAGTTTGCTAAGTTGCACTGCGCTGCACTGCTTCACACATCATTTCATCTAAAACAAAGGCCTGCCAACAGAGTAGTGAGCAGTGATGTGGAACCACTTGCCTGACCAATGACGGACAACACGGGGTGACAAATATTACATAAACAAGTACAAGACACTAGCTGTCATGCTGTCATGGGGGTGAAGGTACAGCAGTTGGCAATTGCTTGAGAAATCTCACCACTCACCACTGGCCACGCCCTCATCGCTGGCCTTTGTTTGCGCAGGCCATGGTCACCAGAAAGGCAGACCTTACATCACATCGGAAGATCCAGAAGCACATGAAAGCCACGCAATAAGATGATGCTTGATGATTGGTAAATAACAATACCAAAAAAACACCTAACAAGGCTAACAAGGTAACAAGTTCAAGTTTGGCATTTGGCGTGGACTGTCTTGAGCACGCAGTGCACAAATTGCTACCAACGTCAAACATCATCAAAGAGCAGCAATCTAGCCTTCTAGTAATTTGGGATTTGGTAACCACTGACCACTGACTGAGCCTTGGACTCCAGACCAGTGTCACCAGTCATTTTCTTGAAGTGCTCGAACACGATGACGCCCTCAGGCAGACTGTTTAAATTGGTTGACTCTTTGCCTTTGCGTCTCCGTTTCTTGTAGACAGTGGTTCCTGTGTTTACTTTTTTTTGCGTAGACTCTTGTATTGGTAAGGTGGGTGACAGATACTAAGTTATTATCACATTAGCTACTGTGAAGTCCACCGTGCAACATCATAACATCATATCAAATCCAGTGCTATACTAAAGCGGGGGCTAAAGCAATCATCGTGCTGAATCTATCTAACACGGATTTGGGCTCTATCGACATTTTAACTCCAAACACGTGGGACCTTTGGCAACGTTTGGCCCAAGATTGCCTCCTCTTCGGCATTCAATTTTCTGGCGAAGACGATGTAGATGTCCCGGACATAGGCAGGCCTCAACGTGAAGCAATCTCTTTGCTAGCGTTGCAATGGACCACAAGCGCCACAAGTGCACCACAAGTGCATACCTATAAGACTACTATGAGACTGTGAGTAACCAATAACAAAACATTTGATATTATGTGATCAACATATTAATTGTAATATACATAAAATACGAGTTTGCGGCAAACAAGCCTCAGTCTACAGTCTCAAATCAAAACAAATTGGGAAGGCCGTCATTGCTGTGTACAGAAAAATGGCAAGTCCAGTTACAGCCCAAACTACAATGCTTTGGCAATCAATTCGCCAACCCATCAAACGAGTCAAACAGCCTTGTCAAAAAGAGCTTGTTTTTGTAAGTGGCTCTCTAGGCTACAGATGACTGACACACACACAAGTCAGGCCTCCTGCCGAACTTGAACCGGAGCATTTCCGCATCCACACTGAGCAACATTCACACAGCCTGCGCAAACGTAACAAAGGCTGACCAAATGACCGACCAAAGGGCCTTTCAACTCTGTGACTATGACTCGACCTATGACTACGACGTACAACTCAATGACTCAACCACCAACCAACCACCAACTTCAATTCACAGTCCATATATGTATATTTTTACAGTACCTGATTCAGTTATGCAGTAGATGGTAGATAGCAGTAAATGTGATCTTTGGGCAAAAGATAGCAAACATACGCGTAAACAAACCCGAACAAACCCTGCCTGGCCCTGGGTTGGCAAAAGCTTCTCGGCCATGAAAACTCCGAAGGCAACCGACACGGAAGTGTAGACAGTGCAGACACTCCAACTTCAGAGCTGGCACAAGCACCTGATTTATCTTTCAGAGCTTCTGAAAGGTCTTTGGCACACTGCTGGTGGAAAGTAAGCAAGCACAAGCAACACCTTACCGGAGGTGTCAATGGAAGTTGGTTTCTATCAACCTTGTTGCAAATATGGCATGGCTTTGACGCGGCATTGGCAGGAGCACTACCACAATCATCACCTCCCTCTGCTGTGCGAAACATAGCAAGCAGTCTGACCAAATGGTCTGGCATTCTGTCTCTAGACTGGTCTCTCTTCCATTGTGCCTTCACAGGTTTCACCCCAGTGTCCCTCCACAGGATCTCCTGATTCAGAGATGAAAAAGGAATAGGCACTTTGCTAGCTCCAACAGCCACCACGCACTTCAACCGGTTCTCGGCATCCATTTTCACGATTCGTCCCTCTACACCCATTTCTTTCCCTGCCCACTGCACAATCTCCACTGAACGAAATCCAACATTGTCAGTGGGATGATGATCGCGACGGTCAAAGCACACAATTGATACACCATCGAAGTCTCCATCAATTCCAGAGTGGTCTTTTTGCAGCTCCAACAATCTTAGCGACTCAGAAATCTGGCGTACCCATTCTTCATAAGGATGCAACTGTGACTCACCTTGTTCCTGCTCGAGCTCTGCATCAAGGAAGGAGTTGTCATCATGGTGCCGAGTTAGCTGCGGCTTGGTGTCATCAATTTGAGAGCCTTGACAACTTGACGCTTGACAAAAGCTACACACGCGCACACATTGATGGTATGGTCCTATGGTCCTATGGTCCTATGGTCTTTGTGTTTGTTGGCTTCGTGCCCTTTGGATCTTGGGGCAAACCTTGCTATATATTAGAAGGTTGATTACAAAGCAAACCAATCAAATCAAACACTTAAACGTAAACGCAAGTTGAACGCACGACAAGCAAAGCATATCCACGTCAATCATAAGCTCATTGAAGCTTGGAATTGGTCTGTTTAACTTGTGAATAGTGAACAGTGAACTTGACCAAAGGTTTCCAAAATGAGGGCTTTTGGGGTTCTGAATCAGCAGCTGGCATTCAGCCATTCAGCCACTGCGACTGGCGACTGGAAGCCTTTCAACTTACGACTTAAGGCCGAATAAAAGACAAGACAAAAGACAAAAACATGTGTTTAAAGAGAAACCGAGAAACCTGAAGAACCAGGCTGAATGCTGTCATCCTGCGTGCATGCATCTGCAGCATCAACTGCATCCACACCAGCCGACTTGGCAAAACCTGCCTCCATTGCAGCTTCTACACAGTCCAAATTTGATTCTGAAGATTGCAGTTGCGAAATAATGCGCTGTTGCTCAGCGGAATCAATGTCACAAGCTTTCTTCTGAATCGTTTGAATCGCTACGCTGTGTTCAACAGATGTTACGAAGTCCTCACTGGTTTGTTCTTTGAATGTCGCCGTGGCAATATCTTCCATGAGTTCATCTTCAGCTGCATCTTGATTCTGAATCGACGACAGGAGGCCCTTGGCAATGTAGTAATGAAAATCATTGGTTTCTCCTGCATCATCGTCACCATTTGGCTCATCCCCTTCAAGAGAGTTGTCAGAAGAAATGTGAAGATCTCTTGCCTCTGCCTCTTCAGCCAACAGGCCAAGGCCAATTTCTTGGTCAGCGCCATCACAGGGCTTTGGTGGGACAGATCCCTGCTCAGACGAAGCAGCGGTGGGCAACTCAGGCAAGTTGGCCTGGTGGTCAGGCTGGCCTTCCTGTGCTTTCATCTTCTTGAGGAATGATGCAGTTGGCTGTTCCAATTTCACAAGACGCCGTGTTTGGTCAAAGGTTGCGCAATTCACTGCTCCGGAATCAAGTGAACCCATTGAAACTAACTCCAAATGAAACAGCAACACGGAATGCGCTGCCCTTACCAAGTCAAAGTGGTCTTTGATGATCTCCAAAAGCGGTTTGAATCCAGATAGTCGATGCCAGCATAGAGTCTTTGTATCGGGTTCCCGCGTAGCTTCCAGTACATGATGTTTCTTCCGTACAGTCTCAGCTGAAATAAAGTACCTGAAGCTTGATGTCTTCTGACCGGATTTGCGAACAGCCACGCAAAAGGCAGGAGGTAAAAGTTTTCGCCATTCTTGCTGCTTCTCTGTGCGAGCAAACAAGTTTCTGTGGAGCACCATGTTGTAGCTGGCAGCCCACGTGTACTGCACAGAGTGGCAATTCAAGTACGGTTTGAGTTTCCCTTCCAAATACAAAGCCCTCTCATTGGGGATGCAATCTGGCGCGGCCGTGCTCGGGGCCCACCTCATTGGGTTTGACTGAACATCAATCAGGTCACACCACCCTTGCAAGCAATGGTCACGGACTTTCTCAGCTACTGGTCTGAACTTTGACCACCTGAACGATGTTTGTGGATTTGCTTCGCCACCTTGCCCGAGGAGGTACTTCAAAGACAGTCGCGAACTCTTCAATTCCATGCTGCTATGAGGAGCCCTATCATCCATGAGCTTTATCATTTTGTTAAGCCTCTCATTCTCACGAACATCAGGCTTGAGCATGATGGAAGCTCCCTTCAACAACCAGTACAGACGTCGGGGAAGAGTTCCTTCTTGAGAAGCATGTTCCAGCTCTTTGGCAAATCGAGCTCTCAATTTCTTGGTGTTTACCTCAAGCTCGGATTCTCTTGTTCCCAGAATCTCCAATGCAATCTCTCTACGGGTGTAACAGACCTGCTCTGGCGGTGCTCTGACCAAAAGTAAGAGCTTCATAGGATAATTCCTGAGAGAAAGCAGAATACGACGCTCAAAGCCACAAGCATTGTGCAAGAGCATTGACCCAGCGACCAGCATTAGGAACCTGAGTTGGTCCTCGCTGCAGTTGCTTGTCGAGAGTTCTTGCCAGTCTGAAGAAATACCTGAGCCAATGAAGATGCCAGGCTACAGGCTACAGGAATTCCCTTCAAAGTACAAGTAGGACCAAGTAGGAACCCCCAAAAAAGGTCTTCAACTGTCTCTAACTCAGGGCATTGGGCATTGATTCTGGATTTGAATCTGTGAATACAAATACAAACAATGGAGGTAGTTGTTGAAGAGCAACTTGGGATATGAACACTGAACAAATAACAAATGAATTGAATTAAATTATTTGATTGTCAATCTCCACCCATCCTCCTACCCCATCCCATCTCCTTCTCCAATTCCAACGTATGACTCAATGACGCAGCGCATTGCTTTGCTGGAGGCAAGAAGAAAACTAGACTATACTAGCTGCTTTTGCAACGCAACGCCCCGACAAGTCAAGGCACGCAAGGTTGAGAGTATTTGTGTGAACTCTGAATGAATAGCATCTCCCCGTCCGAACACGAGTTGAGCCAGGGGACCTCCCTGACTGAGAAGTTCCTGCTCTGACACACGTTTCTTCAAATAGTGTGAGATATGTATCAGAGGAGATCTGCAGGTGTTCATCAACAAGATGATGCGTCCCCATTGCTGGTCCGACACTGCATTTAGAGTTTTTGCCCTCCAGCAACCCATTTTCAAAGAAAAGTCTTTGCACTCCTGAAGACTAAGCTCATTGGGTGTTGCTCCCTTGAGCGAGTCAATCTTCTTTTTCTCCGATTCGTTGTTCTTTTTTGTAGCGTGCAATGCTTCGCGAATACAGCGCACCACCTCCCATTGGTCGCAGTCACTGTCACCATTGCCAAATGAGTTGAGCTCACTAGTATCCACAAATTTCCGAGTCAAAATGTCAGCCAGACAAGTCGCCAGCTGAGAAAAGCCTGCCTTTATGATGCGCTTTTCGAGTTCATCAATTCTGCCCCAGCGTTGGCAGACTGGACGCGGAAATATGGACTTCACTGCCTCCTTCCCTTTCATGGCCCCAAAGCGATCGCAGTAGCAATCGTAGAGGGCACGTGCCTGGTCCCTGCAAGTGTAGGAGCACATGGCTAAAGAACTCCAATACTTCCAGGTAGCTGTACTTGCAAGGAGCTTGTCGACCAGCAGCAATCCCGACATAACAACTAGATGTGGACTGTGCTCCAGGCAGTCTTGTTCGAAGTAGTAGACATTTTCGTACTCAGACACTTCGGCAGCAATCAGACGGCGCGCTGTAACTTCATTGGATCCACGATCTGTAGTTGCCATGAAGACATGATCCACCAATGACCTGGGCAAAGGAAAAGTTCTGACTTTATAATTTTATAATTCTGATGGGCAAGAGAAAAAGGATGACTCATAAAAATCATTTTAGCGTGAACCATGCACCAGTTGCAGCCAGAACGCTTGGCAGCTTGGTTTTGATGTTTCAAATCTCTCCAGGAAGGACATTGCAAAGATTTCAAGCCCCGCAGTGTAATGCCAACGCAGCCACGGGCAGACTCATCACCAACTGGTGCCAGATCTGCAATCCGCTTCACACGAGTGAAGTGTTCCCAGCTCAAAACAGATTGCTCTGCTTTGGATACGTTGCTGACATACGCTGAGTCCAATTCAAAAGCCACTGTTTTGTCCCTCCCATTGGTTGCATCCTGCCGGTAAGAATGAAAGCAAAGGGAAAAACCAGTGTTGCTCTCGTGTAGCACTTGGTTCCTCATGACTTCGAAGTGTAGTCTGACTGAGGCAATCAAACTTGCACCACATCGAATTTCGCTTCGACTTACTGTTTGGTGTGAAATATCTTGCAAGATGACTCTCCCTATGTCGGCTTGGCTGATGTTCGACATGTTTCGCCGAACCTTACTTGTCTTGTCTTATCTTAAACATACTAACCCCCAGTAGGTCATTGGACAGAAAGAAGAAGTGCAACAAATGTTGAACTCAGCCACTAGTGGATTGAGGGTTGCATTGCATGGTTGGGTCGGGTCGGGCCAGAAAGAAAATAAAAGATGTCAAAAATTGTCTTCTATAGAACGAGACACTGCTAGATTGATCTGGCCCTTTGGCGTGAGCCAGCTCCACTTCTTCTTGGAGTTGTCTTCCCAATCTTCGTCACACCTGTGAATATCAAAGTCAGTGCGTTTCTGCAGCTTGTCCACTTGAACCTCATGGGTTTTCTGCATCTTTTGCGAACGAATATTTGCTCGCCGTAGTGACTGTTGCAATCGCTTTTTGTCTGCTCGCAGATTTGCTATTTGGGTATCTTTTGCCTCAAGCAGAGCCAGCAATGTAGGAAGATCAATGTTCTCTGCGTTCGAGGTTTGTTGCGATTGAGATTCTGTCTGATCTTCATTTGTGCCTTCAACTCCTTCAACTCTTTGCTTTTTCTGATGGATCTCGTCGAGCGCATGATAGATTTGCCGCTGTTGCTGCATTCTTTTCCGACGTGAGCACAGAGTGGAAGCTTTGCTGCCATCAGAATCCAATGCACCATCCTCACTGGATAAATAGGCAGAGGTTGAGCTTGATGCCGGATCAGAACTGTCCACACCACCAGTATCGGAAGACTGAGATGATATGTTCGACTCGAGATATGCATGCAGCTCTTGAGGTTGGATTGTAATGCCCATCAAATCATGAAAGAGCATGATCAATACCTCCGCGTGATATTGTGTCTCCATGTCCTTGCCCTCGTCTTCAGCACCAACACTGTCATCGTGAACAAACAGAAACTGCTGAGCAGTTCGTGAGCAGAAGTCAGAAAAACGGTGCCAATCAGGAATCTTGCCTATTCGGGCGAGTCGCGCCCAGGCTGATGCCAATGCTCTGTGACCAATGACATACCTCCCAGAGGCCTTCTTCACTGTGCCATAAAGCAACAACTGAACTTGTTGCCCCGCCGCTTGCATGGCATGCAACGTGCAAACATTAACATCAAATGGAAAATTGACTTGTTTCCTTTCAACGCTGCCAGCTATCAAGAAGGTTTGTAAGAATCTTGGGAGTTTCATAACCAAGTGAAAAAGCAAAGCTGTGTTAAGCTGCACAGTGCATTCGGAAATGCAATGCTGGTGCTGTCGGCGTGTTGCAAAGCTTCAACATTGCATCACAAAATTGCATTAGATCACAGGTTAGTTGAGAGTTGTTGAGAGAAATTACTTGTCGTGTTCATTGGTTCCTGTGTGCTTTGCAATCTTTGCCCTTGAAAACGCAAGACAAAATCATGGAGGCATGTGTTCTTGCTTGCAAAATGGTGGCGCAACAATGGTCAAAATTCGATACTCCTTCATTTCAGCTAGGTTAGCTAATGGAATTTTGATTGCGTGTTTACATACTCCTGCCATTCTGCTACAAATATTGCTAGATGTGTTGTCGCACAAAGTACGTCCACCCCGGCCTACTTGCAACAAAAATCCAAAGCAAGAAACCCCAAATTCTGAATCATATGGTTTTAAAAACAATTTTCTCCAAACTTTTGACCTTCAAAATCGTTTGTTGCTGCTGATCATAATGCTTAGAACAAATGTTTTATTCCTCCAAAATTCCTTTGCTATTGGTTCTGTGGTTATGTGGGTTCTGTATACCTAGACCACGCTCACCGAATTAGGTGGCTTCATCACACAGTGGGGATTGGACATCCCGAGCTGTTGCTCTCCTGGGATATGCAAAATGACCTCCCGAAGAAAGGACCCCCCCAGTGGATTTGCGTGCCCCGTCAGAATTCTGTGTCTTGCACAAAAAGTACCCGAACTTCCAGTGGTTCGGGGAACATCTGAAAGGAACATCTGCCCAGACTCGTGATGTGGATGTTCCACTCTGGATCAGCAGACTCCTCTAGCTTGCAATGGCCTGGAATTCACGGTACCAACTCGGCCACCAACTCAGCCAGTACAAGGGATCAATAAGACAAACCAAAGCTAATTAATGGGAAAGAAGGCACACGGGACATGTGATGAGTTGGTCATAATTTCTTTGTGATATGCCATGCTCAATCTCAAAAGTTGAACTGGCAGACCTCCTCATGTCCTGTCCAAACATCCTGATCATCCAAGTCGCCTAAGCCTAAGCATTGGAAATCCATTTTTTCAGATCCAAACTGGATACACCTCTGTCTGGTCGGACCCCTGAAGGACCCGAAGGACTGGTCGGAGTTGCCGAAGGACTGGTGGAGTTAGAACTCATGCGAGTGAGAAGGAACGTCGCAGAAGAAGGAGGTTTCGCTGTCAGCAGTATCACCACTTGAGCACTTCCAGGCAACAGTAGCAACTGTTTCTTGGTGCAAGGAACCAATCTGAGCACCAACCGTTCAGGGCATCAGAAGCGTTTCTTCATATGAGAGTGGCAGAGTCGACTCTTGCGGTCACAGAACGCACGACAGCATGGTGCGGAATGGCCTTGCTCTTCTTTGGGCATTTCTCCTGAGGCAAGCACGCAACAACAGGTGTCAACAGGATGTGAGTCCGGCCGGCCTACATTGAAACCGGAAAAGAATTCTCTGAGCCCAACCCCAACCCCTCTCAGCTGGGTTTCCAGGTCATGGGGCCCAATTTATCATGCACCTGTTTGAGTGGGTCCGAGGGTCAAAAGCCTAATGCCCCTCACCCCTGCTGAGCAAGGGTCCAGTGCTCCAGTAGCAATACGGATCGACACACTCCACCAGGTCCTTGCTCCTGACGGCTTGCTTCACGGGCCAACTCAGGACTCCCCCTCATTCTGAAAGTTACAGATTGATTGCAACTCGGGGAACCCGACTTTTGGGGCTGAAAGATTGGCAGCAAATTGAACACCCAAATCAGGCTTGAAGATGGTCGGCCAATCGGGTCAAAATGCAAGCTGCACCAGGTGGCTTCCATGGCCTGCATTTGGTGGCTTCCATGGCCCATTTCTCCAAGCCCCAGAAGCTTCGGCTCCTACAAAGCAGCATAGGTCAAGCACCTTTGGACACTTTATGGCATCTTTGCTTTTTGCTTGCCCTGCCTCCTCTTCCTTCCTTGCTTTTGTGCAAGATGCGGCATCTAGCTTGTAAGTTTGGCATGTTATGCTAAACTGAACACTGGCAAATATGGTGATTTCCAAGTTAGGACGCAGGACTTCAAGAGCACCGACTTCCCGAATTGGGTGACTGTAGGTCATAATCTGCGTAACTACAGGTACTGTATAACATGTCGATGTTATTTGAGCGATCTCATGTCCAGCGGCTCAAAATCCCTATTCGTAATGAAAACTTGTCACAAAAATCCACGAGTTCAGTGGTCCACCAGGTCAGTGGTCAAAACTTGAATGGTTTTATGAAGCCACTTCTTTACAATTCAGACAAGACAACCTGACTCCCTCCACACACACTACAACTTGAGGAGGAACCAAAAAAGCACTGGGATTTTAGATTTGCTGCGATTCGATCCCAAACTCTTTGACAGGCAGCAAATCCTAAAGAACCCCTCTCCTGCTGTGGAAGCTTACCGGGCTGCAATACCCAAGCTTTGCATCGCCAGCCTGCGTGGAAGCAAGCTTGCAGCTAGCAACAGGCCACCTGCGTTATACGCTCGTTATGCCAACCAGAAACTTTTGAGGCTTTAATCACCAATGCCGCGTCCAAGTGCTTTTCTTCAGGACATACTCATTGACAACCGATAGCAGCTGTGTGACGCCATGCACAAAATCCGGAGGGTTAAAGGTAAAAATGATTTGAACATGTGCCCCGGGCTGGACCTTCCAAACCCACCCAAACTAGGTCGTCGGAGCTTGGGTTGTAGGTCCGGGTGACCACCGAAGCATGGCTCAGCCATTAGTCTTGCACTGCGAGGCAGAGTGCAGTGCTCTGCTTGAGGCAGCAAAGGAGACGTGGAAAGGGTTTCTTGGCTACCATGCAGTTTCACTGCAAACAAACTGTTTCAATAGTGAGACAGCATAGGTTCCAGAAGCTATCCCTCTGAGGAGACCTTCCCTCAAGAACAAAGGGAAGACTACCTTGATCTACTTTGACGGTGTCATGGTTTTGACAATAAACAAAGTCAACAATTTTGTGGATGTGAAATTCCAAAGAATCAAAATGTCCGCACGTTGATTGGTCATCCTTGATTGGCTTTATCTTGAACAGCAGGCTGTGGACTGCTCTTGCTGCAGGACCCCCTTGTGGTTGCCACCAATAAAACTCTGTGGGGCAAACTGTCCAATCCCTCAAAAGGTTCAAGGAAACCTTAACACCGCCATGCAAAAATCCAAGTTTCCCGCCTTTGTCTCACAAAGGCTGTTAAGTTTGCATTTCGTCCATGAAAGCCTCGGGGCAACACAAAAAACAAGGTGCAAGGCAACGCAAAACTCAGTTGCGCAGGGTGCGCGTTCCAAACAAAAAGAACCAAGATATGCCAAGGACACCTTCGGCACTTTCTTTGGTTTGCCGCAAATTTGCCCAAAGCACGGTCTTTCCTGGCATCGCACCATGTGCCCAAACGTTCTGACCTCATTGCATTTCAGTACAGCAAATCAGCAAATCACAAATTGTGCATGTTCTAAATTGAGTGTGTCAGTCCAAGTGTTTTCTTTTCCAAGGAGCTCGTCGAAGTTTCGAAGCGCAATGACGTTGAAAAAGGAAAGCAAAAGGCAGAACGCCACACGAAGATCCATCAATTTCGTCGTACAACTTGGATACTTTCAATCAACTTGAGCTTAAGGCCAGCAGGAGGTTGGACAAATTGACATCATGTGTCTTCCTGGGAATGAGTTCGTGAACACTGAGTCGGTGGTCCAATATCGAACGAAAATTAGTGTACAAATCAAGTCGTGATCTTGTCACAATGACCGGAAGGATACATTAACATGAAGAAGAAAACACAACCAGGGCAGTGAAGCAGCCTCCCCTTGTTTTCCGTGGAGGCTCTATTTTGCGGCGTGGGGAGTGAGAACCCTAGATCCAGCCACCTGAGCCGCTAGCACGCAACAGGTTCGCAGTGCGCGTGCGATGGCACTGTGCCAATCGGACAACTAAAGCGAAAAAACTTTGCCCACGTGGCCACAACTATATAAATTAAATCATGCATTTGTTCTTTGCCCTGCGCGCGCTATCATAATTTATTGGCCTTCATTCCCTGCAATTTGGGCCCCGACATGATGTGTTCCATGCATGTGCATAACACAAAGAGATACCTCCTGCAAACATCAATTCTTGACTCTTGACCATATTGTCAATCACCTGATCCAATCAAACACCAAAAAAGAGGAAACCGAAATCATCAATCAAGGATTGCATAGTGGCAAGGTGGAAGGCGCACTGGTGAGGGCCAAAAAAATGCGTTTTAGAGCACAATCTGTATCAGTGCGTCCATCCTCCTGTAGAAGTGTGTGCGAATTGCTAAAAGCCACGAGAGACAGGCTACAATAGTAGCAGATGAAGGCCCCCAGGCAGCAAAGCCAAACAAGAAAGAGCAGCCCCCCAGAGGGAATGCCCAAAGGGCAGGCGTCTCCACGTCAAGGATAGCATGGAGCCAGGGGGCAGTCGTTCGAAATGAATTTGTCCCACAGAAGATGAGAAAACATAGAAATGACTTAAGCATCTACCAGCTATAAAATGGTCTGCATGTGCACTTTGAAATGGTTGTCTCACAGTCGAAGAGTGTGAAACATGCCGCGGCATTTAAGTTGCCAGAATACCATGCCACTTGTATGGAAGGCTACCACTCTTTTGACCTTTTGCAGGCCTGCAACTCATTCCTGACAAGGACTGTCTTATAACAAGCACTGGGTTTGATGTCACCCCTTCTCTCATACAAAAACTCTTGGTGAACATACTCATGCCTCCAATGATGCGCTACCGACCATTCACTTTCGTGATTTGTGGCAGGATACAGTGGAGTTGACACCCGCGCTCTTTGCGCCACTCGCCCACCCATCACAACCATTTGAGTATTGCAGC